TAAAACAATATGTGTACTACTGTTTCATGAGAAGCTATTTGTTCTGTAAGCCTTCACCTGAAGTACAATTAAAAAATAATAATAAAAAATAAATAATAAATAAATAAATAAATAAACTTACCTTTATAAAAGCATACCCAATGCCATTATCTGTAATGGTGATGCCAAGTGCATCTTCAGATTTACACACATTCACTTCTTTTTTAATTCCTTTCACATGGGCAAATATGAAATCTTCAAGACCTATTTGTACTCCTACGAGTCTTTCCATGTCAACTTTTGGTGTGTTTAAAGTACAGTACAAAATCTGCAAAAAGAAAAAAAATTTAGGTCAGTTTCCATCAGGAAAACATTCTGGTCATTAACTTATTCAATAAATATTTAGTGAAAGAAGCAGTCCCCAATTTATGAAGTAAGTGGTTATATTATGAAATGTGTTTACATGTTGGGTAGGAAGAATCTGGGACACGTTTTCTTTTAATAACATTAAAATTTAAAAAAAAAAATACAAAACTCCTTGCTGCCAAGCAGATTCTAACTCAAAGCAACCCCACTGGACAGGATAGAACTGTCCCATAGGGTTTTCAAGGCTGTAAATCCTTACGGAAGCAGAGTGCCACATCTTTCTCCCATGGAGTGGCTGGTGGGTTCGAACCGCTGACTTCTTGGTTAACAGCCGAGCGTTTAACCACCAGGGCTCCTTTTAATAACATTAAGTAACATGTATCGAGGAGACCTGGTGGTGCAGTGGTTAAGCACCCGGCTGCTAACCAAAAAGTCAGCAGTTTGAACCCACCAGCCACTCCATGGGAGAAAGATATGGGATCTGGTAGTCTACTTCCATAAAGATTATAGCCTCACAAATCCTACAGGACAGTTCTCTGTCCTGTAAGGGTCGCTGTAAGTTGGGATTGACTCAATGGCAATGGGTAACATGTATTGTTTCCTATAGGCCAGACTCTGTGCTAAGCACTTTACATTTATTATCTCATCTAATCCTCACAATGAATTTATAAAGTACATTATTATCCTCATCTTGTTGTCGTTGCTAGCTGCCGTCGAGTCGGTTCTGATTCATAACGACTTTATGTATAACAGAAAAAAATGTTGCCCAGTCCTGTGCCATCCTCACAATTGTTGCTGTTTGAGCCCACCGTTTGAGCTACTGTGCCAATACAGCTTGTTGAGGACTTCCTTTTTCGCTAATCTTCTACTTTACCAAGCAATAGGAAATTGAAGCCTAGCAAGATTAAGCAATTTGCCTAAGGTCACAAAGCCAGTACTTGACAGAGCCAGGATTCATCAACATCAAAGAGGCTTAAACTCCTATGTTACATACCATTTACAATACTGAAATGAAATGTTGTATTCCCAAAGGTAAAATCATGATATGTTTACTACAATGAAAATACAGACAAGATTATCTTTAAAAACTGGTCATTACATTTTTAAAACATAAGGAAAATTTTATTTATCTTGCATTCTAGTGCTTGAGAAAAGCAATTTAATTCGTGAGATGTTACAATAAAAATGTTTTAGACCTAAAATGGACCTTAAACCCAAAACCCATTGTCAACTTTTTAATTTTTTTTATTATCAAGTAATATTCGCCTCAGATATTGCTAGCCCTTCCTCCACCCGAGTCTTACATCAGCCCTCACTCGCAACCATCTCTGTCTCTGAGTTTTATACCATTCCTAACTGCCATTCAAACCTTGGGCCTCAACACATTCATAACTCATGAAGTTCAGAAACTAGTGCAATTACTACTTTTTGAATTGCGTTTTAGGCCTTATCTAAATGGGTCTGAATTTGGAAGGACTTTGTAAAATAACGTGTCTAGTACTCATGCTGGGTTTTGAACCAGAGACTAAAGGTTCAGTGATAAAAAGACACATCACCTGTCCTCAACTCACGGTTTACAGGGAGAGGCAAACATGTGAACAGACCGTTTCAGTATAAAGCCATAAGTTCTAGAGCAGAAATATGCACACGGCTTCATAGGAGCCTAAAGAAAGAACATCTATCTAAAAGATAGCTGATCCAACTTCAATTGTTCAGGAAAAGCTTTCAGGAGGAAAGGACACCTGTGCCGAATCTTAAGCAGGACTTACCTGAGTAAAAGAAAAAGGGAAGGACATCCCAGACAAGGAAAACAGCTTTTCAGAAAGGTCCACATGGGATAGCAAATTGTCGCTGGTATTTCAGTACAACTGAAGCTCAAAGTTTGAGGCAAAGTGGGTAGTGAGATGAGCAGTATTTCCTAGGCTGGAATTAACTGGACAGTGAATAATCAACGAGAGAAAAAGAAAAAAAGCATGGCTTGACATGAACCCCTCTTCAACAATAATTTGACTGTATATCCCTAGTACTGTATTATATTGTTGTATGTATATTGTGGGATAAAGTGAGTAAGTATGTTGGTGTCACTGGGAATCAATTTTCAGCATGGAAGAAAGAAGGTACAGATGTAAAACTGAGTTAAAAAAAAAAAAAAAGCTGCCATCCAATCGTATTTCAACTCATGGCAACCCCATGTGTGTCAGAGAAGAACTGTGCTCCAAAGGGTTCTCAATGCTGATTTTTCGTAAGAAGATTGCCAGGCCTTTCTTCCGAGGTACCTCTGGGTGGATTCAAACCCGCAACCTTTCAGTTAGCAGCCGAGTGCTTAACCATTTGTGCCACCCTGGAACTCCATAAAACCGATAAGGTTATATAAAAGTACTATAATCCTGGATTTGAATTAGCACTATCAGGATTAACTTAGAATGTATTTTCTCTTTATTTAAAAAAGTAATTATTCCCTAGCTGTAGTAGACATGGGGATGAGCTGCCCAGATCCTCCTTCAAGGAAATACCTGGGCAGCGCAGAGTCTGCCTCAGCTGCAGAGAGCTTCCTCACCCAAGTCCTTTCCCAGGGCAACCCACATTCAATGACTGAGATGGAAATACAAAGGCCTGGCAGTCTCAGCCAGACATGGGGTAACTCTGAACAGCAATATTCACTCCAGAGATCCCTGATGGGTCAGCCAAGGCTTTACAAGTTATCTTTCCCCTCTGTCCAATCCTGCATATTTGCCCTTCCTTTCACAGATGTTGATCCCTAATAAATATCCTGCACACGAAACTTCATCTCAGTGTCTGCTTCCAGAAAACCCAACATACAACACTAGCTCAGTTCAATGAAAGACCCAGAAACAATGACCAATCCAGTAGTATGACCACCTAAAGTACCAAATATTTCTAACCACTATTTTCCACTAAAATAAATGGGGCTGATTCCAGGAATTGGAACAGGGAATTTGCAAAATGAGGCTAAAACATCTTGTCATGCTAGAAAGCAAAGAAATTATCAAAAACTACCGGGGTCATGTCAAAATTACTCAGAAGTCAATTTGAAGAGGCTACTTTTGGCTAAAGAAGGACGACTTGCACATCAATAAGAATAATTACAATATTTTGAAATATATTAAATATATCTGAAACAATGAATTAACAGCAATACTCTTTTTTAAAACTTCCTTGGTCACCTTTGGAGGATGCGAAGGATCAAATTATTATTCTGAAAAATAATGAACCAAGTATTTACCTTGCCTGTCTACACAAACAATACCTCAGAGTAATCAAACAGTTATAGAAGAATTCCAGCTAATAAATAATGCATAATAATTTTGGTATAGAATTTAAAATATCACTATTTTGCAATTCTTTTTGAAATAATGGATGTAGGTGATGATCACTAATGGCTGCTAACATTTCAAAAGAGAGACAACCAGACTTTAGGTACCACCTGATGGAAGTACAGAACCTCATCTATAAAGCACTCTTGCAGAAGAAAACAATATTTACCCTGAATCTTACTAAGCTTTTGCTCTAAATACCAGTTTACAAAAGACACAGGAGATAGAGGAACATATTTAACAACTCCACAAGGTCTTAGTCAGCAAAATTCAAACTGTGGGAAACTATAAAACAAAATGATTTCTTCAACAAATAAATGGCAAGTGAAAAGGGGGAAGGAAAGCATTTAGAAAAAGTGGAAGAGCTGAACCAATGTCAACAGCTACTTGCCTCTGAATTTAAATGAGGTAAATAAACTATTTCTTTAATAAAATAGGGGGGGTGATTAAGAGACACCCATTGATTGCAATAAATGGACTTTATGTGGATCCTTATTTGAACAAACTGTAAAAACATGATTTATGAGAAAACTGGAAAATTTGTTGTTGTTATTGATTATATGTAATTATAGCATTGTGATTAGGCTTTTTTAAAAATAGTCTTTCGATTTGAGTCAGAATCAACTCGATGGCAATGGGTTTGGTTTTCTACCTTTTAGAAATATATACTGTTTATGGAGGAAACGAAACAAGATATCTATGGAATTTGTTTCAAAATAATCCGGGGGAGGTGAGTGGGGTGGATGTGTAGACGGAAAAGACAGGCCATGAGTTGTTAACTGTTGAAGCTGACTGATGGGTTCACAGGGATTCATTCTACTACTCTATTTTTGTGCATATTTGGAAATTTTCCACAATAAAAAGGTTTGGTTTTTTTTAATGATGTAATCAAAAGGGTTTTTCTGTTAAATCAAAGGTTGTTATAAAAATTTATGAAAACTAAGTAATGAATTGTATTTATTCTCACAAGGTGGGGCTGAAGCTTTGGATTTTCTTTTTTTCTGGCTGTCAGGCTGTTGTTGCTAGGTTATAGACTTACAAAACTTTGGGGCAGAAGAAACACGACAGCTCTAGCAGCTCAGCTCTCACTGCTGTAGGATTAAAGAAAGGCCCAGGCAGTCAGCAAAGTGCAGACCAAACCCCAGAGGTGTGTGAAAAGGGCTGGCGCTAAGGACAAGAAGGTCCCAGAGTACAAAATAATCAATGTCCATGAAGAAAAACTCCTCTTCCCTCCCCTTTCCTCTTTTCACCCAGTCAGTGGTGAGCAGTCTTGATCGGTGGGCCTTTAACTTAACCTTTTGTGTTCCTGGGGATCCCTGGTGGTGCAGTGGTTAAGCACTCAGCTGCTAACTAAAAGGTTGGCGGTTTGAACTCACCAGCTGCTCCGTGGGAGAAAGATGCGGCAATCTGCTTCTGCAAAGATTTACAGGCTTGGTAAATTACAGGGCAGTTCTACTCTGTCCTGTAGGGTCACTATGAGTTGGAATGGACTCAGTGGCAATAGGTTTGGTTTTTTGTTTGTTTGTTTGTTTTTGTGATCCTGGCAGGGCAAAACATATTTGACTTTGTAAGTAAGTTTTGTAAATATTCTCTCGTGTAAGAACTCTATTAGTCCAGGAAAGGAAAAAAAAGTTATTAAAACCAAGAATGGCTCCTACTGTGAAACCGATGGTATAATTAGTCTACTGATTAAAAAAAAAAAATGAATTGTGGAAGAAGAGTTTGCATAAAAAAGAACTTTTCTGACTTCCTTTCTCAAAATAATGGGAAGTGAACCACAATGAAATACCACCATCATGCCCATTAGAATGGCACTAACAAAATAATGGAAAACAATAGGTGTTGGCAAGATTGTCAAGAAAACTGGAACCCTCTTTCATTGCCGGTGGGAATGTAAAACGGTACAGCTGCTGTAGAGAACATTTGGTGATTGCTCAAAATGTCACACTAGAACTACCATTTAACTCAGCAATCCCAATCCTAGGTATACACCCATAAGAAGTGAAGGCAGGATCGTAAAAAGAAACCTGTATATCAATGTTCATTGCAGCACTTTTCACAACAGCCAAAAAGTAGAAACACCAAAATGTCCATCAACAGATGAATGGATAAACAAAATGTGGTAAGTACATACAATGGAATTTACTCAGCCATAAAAGAAATGAAGTCCTGATGCATGCCACAACATGTATGAACCTCGAAAACACCATGGTAAACAAAATTACGTCAGTCACAAAAGGACAAGTACTGCATGATCTCACTTATATGAAACAAGGCAAATATATAGAAACCAAAGATTATTAGTGGTTACCAGGGATGGGAGGGAGGGGAAAAGGGGACGTTTTTGCTTAGGGCGCATTGAGTTTATGTTTATGGTGGTGGAATAATTTAGAAAAGGACAGTGATAATGGTTGCACAACATAAAGTATATAATCAATAATCAATGTCATGGAAACATACATGTAGAAATTGTTGAACTGGAGAATGTTTTGTTGTGTATAAATTCACAATTAAAAAAAAAAAAGGAATCTTGGCCAATAAAAAAGGGGTGGTGAGTAGAAAAAATTAATAAGCAAACAGTTTTCTCCTTGGTTTTTGTTGTTATTGTTGTTTTGGGTTTCTTCGGTGAATCTGTAAATATTTATAGTGGATCCCAAACATCACTAACATAAAAACAACTCACCAGTTAGACAGGAAATAAAATCTTAAAACATAATGACAGGATAGGGGAAAAGGCCCCAAAAGAAAATCTCACACAAACTGAACTTCTAGTTATCTAAGCCTCTTCCTTTGCTTCCTTTTTAATTCCTCACATGCTTCACTGCAGAGCAAATATTAGATTTCCTGTAGGTAGAACCCTTTTCCAATGTGCTTCCTCCTCTGCAGAACTACAACCCACTCCAGGCAGCCAAAAGTTGGCAGGCAAGGCATCATTTTTTCTGGGAAGAGTAGAGCAAATTATATCCTTCAATGAAGAGCTTCAAGGAGTTCTGCGGGGAAGCTGCTTTGAAAACATGCAAGAATGTAATGGTGACTGGGCAGTAGAGTAAAAGCCCCCTGTAACAGCAGGAAACTAAAGCATCATGGCTCCAGATCAGTTCTTCACGTGAGAATAAAAACCTGACACTCATGCAATCACAATACACAACTATCAGCAAATAAATCTGTAAGTATGTGATATAGGTCTAGAAATTCAAACACATCCTCGTAGATAGATACTATATTTTGAACTGAGAAACAAGGGAGGAAATGATACCCTACTTTCTAAATGCTTACAAAGTTCTTGCTCATTCATCCACTCATCAAAAACCTATTGAGCACTTGCTTTTTGCTAGGTTTTGTGCTGGAAACCGAGGGTACAAAGGTGAATATGACATTCCCTATACACAAGGAACTCCCAGATTGGTAGATGCTCCACTGAGGTTTTGTGATGTAACACAGAGCCAATTACAATAAAATTCATTAAAATTCATGAATATTTAAATTAAAAGGAATCTCAAATACCTTGTCTTAGTT